CAGGAATGAGGCTTCTGGCCACGGTGAGTGCCACAGCCCTTCCTGGGAAGTGTTCATTTCCTTTCCACTTCGCTATTGCTCTCCAGCCTCACCAGAGAAGACATGAAATACTGGACAGATGAGGAAAACAGGCAAGCCTTTGTGCAGAAGGCTCTTCATAAAGCTGCACTGTGGATCTGAAATGCCTTCAAAATAAACAGGAGTCCTGGAAACCCTGGAGTGCATTTAAAGTCATCATACAGTAAAAGACATCAAATTTCATGACAGATCTGACTCAAACTGTAACAGCCTTTTAGTCCAGAGTTCTGGATGTAAAAGAATGGGACCCAGCACAGTTCTCTGGAAGTCTGCCCACTCTGCATCCCCTTTTCAGGACTAAGACACTGATTCAAGGTCTCAGACATTCTAAAAGCCTGGGAGGTAGAAGGAGAGGTGTTTCAGCTCTCAACAACTGCAGCAGACACCAGGATCTATAAAGGCAGATACTGGACAACATCCCTGCTCCACATTGTTCACCCTGTGCAGTCAGACCTCCATTCATTACAACTCAGTGAAGTAAATCAATATAATTAATTCCCCTCCCTCTGTCTCCTAGTTTTGAATTTCCCCTTTCATATACTAAACAATAACACAACTCTGTGCCTTAGTAGCAATTAATAAGTGCATAAAGAAGATTAGGTTTTTTATAAAATTAAAAGCTAAAATTTGGCTAAAAGCAAAATCCAAGCTCAGGCTCAAGTCCCAGCACCCTGCTGCACTTCCCCCTGACCAGTCTGCCCCAGCATCTTGATAATGGACAGACTGTGAATAGAGTGAATATCAGCTCATCTTTTCCAGGCTTTACTCACAGTTTAGCCTCTGGAGCTCCCAGCAAAGCTCAGCTGCTGTGGCAATCACCATACAAGCATGTCACATCTCCTAGGCTGAGACAGCAGAGATACTCAGAACAGCCAGGGTTCTGAGGGCAGACAACTCACATCTTTTCTGTGTTCACTGTTTGGTTGTCAGCAAGCAGCACACACAGCCCGAATAATCTACTTAGGTGCATCATTACCTTTTAGGATCCTTTGCAAAAAGGCACTCAGCCATAATCAGATCTTGTTGCCTTAACAGTTGTGTACCTGTTGTTTAGACTGCTGCCTGAATGTATCCATCTTCTAAAAAGAATACACATGCACATACATTTGATGTCCCCACCCCCCTTTCATGCATTTCAGAATTAGATCCTTTCCCCTACCTGAATTTTCTGAACTGCAGCTCCAGTTGGATCTCCCACAATAGCCAGCAGAGCCACGACAGGGAACACACACAAAAACCCCACAATGGTTCTACAGCCATTGCTCTTTTTCTTGTCAGCTGAGGGGAGGCTCTTCCTTCTGTCTGCAGAAAGTTGTTCAGCTTGATCCATGTTGTTCTTTAGTGCCTTTTCTAGGGAGATGCAGCAGGGACTAAGACATGCTCTCCTCCAGAGCACATTGGTAATCCCTGTGCTCACAGTTGCATTTCGAGCAGTTGTGAATAGCCCTGCAGTTACTGCTGAAGTTGTGCAGAATCACTAGAGTTTCAAAAAGCCCTAAAAAAAAAAAATTAGGAGGAAAAAAAAAAGTAGACTTTACATTGAGCCTCTTTCCAATGTGCCAAAGATTCTCTCAGCCTCTGCCAAGTGGTATCATGTTACTGCAGCTGAGAGTTGGGCTGGCGGAGGAACAGCAGCAAAGTGAAACAAGCTGGGATGGACTTGAACTCTTTTCCTTAACTGACCGTGTCATCACCAGGGGACAGATCTGCAGTTGTCAGCTTTATGTAATGAAAAGAATTGGAGGAGGGGGCAGAAGAAGGGAATCCAGAAGCCAGCATCATGTCCTGGGAATGTTTTGTGAGGGATGCTTAACGCGAGCAGAGCTGCCGTTTGTCAGGGACTGACTGCAGGAGCAGAGTGAGGAGTGAGAGAGCACCAAGGGCTTCTCTGCTGGGGAAACACTGCCCAGGGAGTTTACACACTCAGATAAAAGGAAACAGCAACTCCCATGGAACTTCACAAGTGACTTGCAAATTTCTTGTGTACTCGGAATCTTCAGAATCACACTGATTTTGGGTACCTCAGCTCGAGATTGCCCTGGAGAAGTGGCCAGTTGGTTGGAGCTCTTTGGTTCCTGAAGGCATCTCCAAGCTGCAGATGGAAAGTCGATTCAGGACTTTTAAAAAAAGCTTACTCAGAAATTGTCAGGTTTTCAGAATTAGCTGCACTTTTCTCTCTGGTCACTAAGCACTGGACACTCAGCACTCCTGACGTGTCCTTAGCTGAGGAGTCCTGAGCAGGCAGAGGAAAAGGAGCTGTGCACTCTCCTCAGTTTACACTGGCTGACAACAGAACTATCCCCTCCCTGCCCTTTGCTTGTGAAATGCTGAAGCATTTGAAAGGTCTCAGAAACTTATTGCACTTCTAATAATGAAAAATGGTTTAATTTTAATTTTTTTCCCCTAATGCACATTCAAACTTGTGGCATTTTATAAGTTTCATGTATTTCCAGACTAAAGTTGGCCAGGAGCTTTTAAACAACTTGGAATAACTATGACCAGTGTGTCTGTGTAGAATTTCAGGACACTTTTTCAGTTTTCACCAAGCTCCTACCTGGAGAAAATATGTTTTCTGCTGAGTTGACAAAGTGCAGCAGTTGTTCAGGTAACCAGGAAAAGGACAGAATAAGGAGTAATATGGAAGTTATGGGTAGAATTGCACAGGAAAGCTGGAACTAGGAGGAAGAGAAGGAGCAGAAAGCAAGGGTTAGGGCTGGAACTCCTGTAGACCACAGCACTCCACTGCAGCACTGAAATATTGGCTGGTCTCAACTGTCAGCCACAACTTTCTAGGGATAGTTCCACCTCTTCCCCAATAGCACAGTTGGCAGAATGAGATATGGCTGTGCCTGAGCATCTGAAAAGTGCTTTGTTTGGAGCTCCAAAGAGTGGTGCAGACACACTTCCATTTGTGGTTTAACCTGCAGACCACAGCAGGCAGTGAGAGCCTAGGGACAACTCGCTCCCTAAATGTACCAGGGTCTCAAATCCCTTCAGCCAGTTTCTGTCAGAGCCAGTAGATGAGAACACATCTGCAGAAAGATTGAGAAGGGAGTCTTGAAGTGAAAACCTGCCTTGGAATGCGGCTCAAAAAAGTCAGCCAAGATCCCTTCTCCAGTAAAGCAGGACTGGCTCAGAAGGAAAATCCAAACACAGAGCTGGAAGAACACTGAGTTTCAGTCCTGGAACTGCATTACAGCACCAAGTGCATCCACCTCCCATATGACCAGAGAGAGTCAGTGGAGTGTGACAGGGCTTTCACCTCTGCACTGATACACCCTTCTCCTCTTGCAAGAGTATCTGAGCATACCCCAGCCTCTCAGAGCACCTAATCTCACACCAGCCTGAGGGCAGGAAGGCAGTGCTGCTACCTGCACCTGGCAGGTTATGACCATTCTGTGCCAGATTTGCCTGAGGTCAAGCAGGACCCTGGAGTCTTCCAAGCACCCAGTTAGTGCCTGTTTCTGAAGGTGACTACACAGAGCTGAGTTTTAAAGTATAGATTGAGAACTCACACAACCACCCAGCCTGAGGAACCAACCAGTGAAGAGGAAAGTAACACTGTTGTAAAATACACCTCAGCTTAGATAGCCCCTCTAAAGTCAGTATCTAGAGCTTTGGTAAAAGCACATTGGAGGAGGTCACAGTTTCCCAATCCTTGGCAAGCAGAGTCAGATGAGGAAAGCTCTTAAGCTGAGGTATCCAGAATTTACAGATGCAGCTCGTGGAGCTAAGGGAGACACATGAACTCAATGCTGTGCACACCAACAATGCTGCTGATAAAGGCACTGCACATCTGGACTCTCTGGAGCACAAGCTCTGGCCAGAATCCTCAGGGCTGCTGCTGATAAAAAGCAACATTTCATACTGTGGTGGTTAAATTTCAAATCCAGCTCTCTTCTCTAGATATTTTAAGGGTTTATAAGGACCACAGGGCACATCTATTGACATTTCATGACTGTTCCCAGCCCTGGGCTAAGAGTATTATGGCTTTCCCAAGAGATACTTGTGCTTAAAGGACTCTCAGATGCAGCCACCAGTAGCCTCAAATCCACACCACTTGTCAGAATTTGAGCCTCTTTCAGATGCTTCAGACCAAATCTCAAACTCCGTTCTGGCAGCCAGTGTTGCTCTTTGCCAAGGGCAAGAAATTAGTCAGGACTCTGAAGTCTCTTCCAAGAGCTCCATGCTTTATGAGGAGCCCCTGAAAGGATGGCTTTTACACCAGTGCAGAGAGCTGCTGCTGTGACTTCAGAGCCCTGCTGAATTTGAGAGGTCTCAAGTGCAGATATTTGGTTTGGACTACAGAAGAGAACTGTCATCCTGACTATATTTGGACAGAAAAATATTCCTGGCTTTGGTTTCTGCAGTGTCTGAAAGCAATGGAACACATTACAGTTTGAGGGAAGCCATATGGTGTCATGGGGAAGAGGAGAGGGGGGCAGGGGACAGAACTGACTTTGCTTTCTCTTCATGCTGCCAGCAGGAGGGACCAGGACCTGGACATCATTTGTAGGGATCTTCAAAGCAAACAGACAGGGCTGCAGACCCTGAGATCTTTGGGTGCATTAAATGTCATAGGAAAAAGCAGGCTCTGAACAGCTGTCAGAAGGGAATGGATGTTGCATAAAACCTCCAATGGTCAAATAGAGACTGGAGAACATAAAGGATGGGATCATTTTCATGACCCAGCACACTTTCCTTGTCACATCACCTCAGTCTCTCTTTGCTCTTTCCAGTCTTAATTGCTGAAATGTTTAAAGTGGGGCTGCATCTAATGCACAACATATGGCTGCACTCCCAGGGGCAGGTTTTAGCACAAAAACAAACACTTCCTCACTTCCACAGATTGTTCTTAGCATTTCTCTCCTCCCCTTTCTTCAGCATGGCTCACAGGCAATGTTACTTCCAGCACTGCTTCCAGAGGGTCCTCTCTGTTACAGTTGCCAACATTGAAGAGGAATGTCAGCCCTGTGCAGGAAGCACAGTGCATTCACCTCCCAGGGATGATGCAAGAACAATCTGTTACACTGTACCTGAACTCATCCTGACAGGTGCTACACAGAGAACAGCCACTCGTGCAACAACTTCAGCCACCTGAGGATCCAAAGCTCACCTCACCTCTCAAGAAACCTCTTAATGATTCATGGATGAAGTGCATATTATTCAGTGTTGGAACAAACTGCTGTCATTAGCTTCCCCTGCTGTGAACTAGGAGTTCTGCATGGAGGTGAGGAAGTCAGGGAAAGGAGGACCTAACATCTGACTGAGCCTGATGGCTCAAGGCATCAGTGTTTCATCTCCAGGGCTCCTGTCCAAATCAGGCCACCACAGGGGAGGGGGGAGTGGAGGCAGCTGAATGTGATTTACCACATTTTGGCTCCTTGGTGGCCCATGTGAAAAGAATTAGCAAATCCTCATATAGCATTTATTTTAAAAAGCACTTACATATTTATCCCTTCGTCTCACAACTTGGGGAGAAAAACCAAAACAACCCAACATTCTTGCATGGTTCCTGTGGGAACAGCAGTTAAAAGTTGTACTTTTTCAGTGGGTCATGGACTAAAAAGGATTTTATCTGCTGAGAGCAACACTCCCCAGGGAGAGGGAGAGCAAGAATATTCGTTAGTCTTCAAGCACTCTCCCACTTTCTATCACGCAGCCCCTCGTGATCAGCATCTGCTGATGTTCCTAGAAAAAAATCCATGGTCTGCTGAATAGCAAATGAGCTGAAAACAAGGACTTGCTCCAGCTGGCAAAGAACATGGAATATTTTGCTGAACTGTCAATTTGGAGCTGCAGCTCAGAGAAGTGACCTGGAGTCACCAAAGAGGGAGGGTCCTGACCCCAGCCAGAAGCTCTACAGTCCAGTCATGGCCACAGAGAATAGAATTTCAGGAATTAAATGAGGGAGAAAATTTTCTCAATACACAGATAGTAAAGTGTGTCCAAAACAGAGAAAGAATTGCTTCCCTGGGTGGGCATATATTTGTTGGTTTTGGTGGGTTATATTAATGATCTATAATCCATTTGTGGATGCACCAATCCTCCTAAAATTCTGGGAGCAGCACAGACTTTGGAACATGGGTTCTTTTCCTGACTGACTTTTGACCAACTCTCTGCTCCCTCAGTCTCATGCTGTCTGTACAATGCAGAGTTTTGGCCCCACTTCCAAAGGAAGTGCTTTGGAAACCCTGGTTCTGAGGGTGAGGTGAGCTGCCATCTTATCTTTCAAGTTTTACACCAGAAAGACTCAGCAAGATCTTTTCCTGTCAAAACCATTGCTGCAGTTCAGGAGATGGCAGAAGTGAAAACAGGGAGCTCCCCAGGCTGTTTCTGGAAGAACTCAGTCTCATTTGTGGCAGACCAACTGGTTATAAACATCAAGCAGAAAATTACCCACTAGCCACACTGATTAACTAATGACAATATTTGTCTTTTGTCCCTAAAAGAGCATTTGCCTACAGCTCTAACATCTCCTCTCTTCAGCCCTTGCTGTTCCTGTAACCAGCAAGAATACCTACAGGCAGCAAAAGGAGAAAGGGAAGCAACATCTCCCCCACCTAACCCCATTTCATCCAGCATGGCACTCCCATCAGCCCCAAGTCATTCTCTGACCCTGACCCTCCATGGAAGCAGGTTTATCAGGAAAGACAAAACAGCAGAACCTTCCTCACTCCTCCAAAGCCTCAGACTCCCATGGAGCTGAGCCTCTCATGGGAGGCAAAGTTTGCCAAAATCATACCTGGCACACAGGGGCATCTGCTGGGCTTCTCTTCTGTCTTGCTCCTGTGGCTCCACTGACCATCTCGTTTCTTCTCTGTTGTGGTCCAGCAATTCCCTTCTTCTTACTAGGAAAATTAAAGGGTCAAAATGGTGCTTAACAGCTAAACTCTTGCTCCTCAAAAGCAATCACAGTGGGAACAGGGCAATGAAGGAATATACTCCCAACCTGAAAGCTGTGTTTACAGACCATTTTTGTAGTTCTTAAGCAGGTATATTATGCTGGGCAAAAATCCCATCTCTTAACTTGGCCCCAAAATGAATTTCAGATATCAAAGATCTTGAAATGGAAATGCACTTTAAAAAATTTAAAACATGAAACTGAGGGGAGCTGCTCCTTCCCTACAAAATCTCTTTTGCATTAGCCAGGAAAAAAAGATAAATTTTCTCCATGTTCTGCAACAGCTTTCAAGTTGAAGGCTGCAGCCTTCCTACAGTTTTTTTCCTTCAGGGAGAATACTCAGTTGGAAACCTCTCTTCATTTAGTATCCAAAGAAATTACTAAAAAATGAAGCAGGTGCTCCCTGATGTTTTTTTTCCTGAATAAACTGACACCTCAAGCATAAGAGAGGAGAATAACACAACAGACATGGAACAATTTGCCACCTCAGTCCCCTCTTCCCCAGGTGCCAGCACACATTTACACACACATTTACACTTAACACACATGATAAAGCATTGGTTGGTTTTACCTTCAGTGAGGTGCTTTTGGATTGGATGCAGAGGTTTGTGAAACGGGTGTATTTCAAAAATTGCTTCAGCCTGGAAAATTATTCCCTTGCACCAAATAGTGGCTAAAGCAGCTCTTAAAGATGGCTCAGTCCTGTACTTTTTAAAAGCAGCCTTTGTACAGCACTCTTGTGGTGCTGCCCTGCCAGGAAACAGCAAACGTTTTAGGGAGATGTCTGGTTTATTCCAAAGGAATTTACACTAATATGAACTTCTAAGAAATAAATAAATCTGAACCTCTGATTTTTACCAAAGCTGATTCTGAAATTCAGCTTTAGGTTATCTGGGTGTTAAATCTAAACCAACCACATAATTTAAGGGCTAACCCTGATCCATAGCTTGAAAAGATCCACTGAAACTGTAACAGCCTCAAGTGAATTTCTGACAGAGATTATCTACAGAGGGCAGAGGTTGTGACATCAGAATTTCTTACAACACCAAGAGACTATGAAGTAATAAATATTCCTGTAAGTACCATATATTTCAAAGTTATGCCTTTAGAAGATCTGCCACCTCTTTGCTAATGAACAAAGCTAGCAGAGGGACACAGCATTTTTGTCTGGTTTAAGCATGTCTTGCAATAGGTCACAAACAGTATTTGTGCATAATTGTGTCATTAAAGATACACCCCCCACAGGCAGACACAAATGGGACACACACACACCCATGGCACACCAGCCCTACAGGCTGCCACTTCCACCAACAGGTACTGTACAGGATGGACTCAGGGGTTAATATTTGTTCAGTCAGACAGTTGGAAAACAATACAGCTGGATCCACATTTCAGCTACTGTTTGTACATTCACTTTAATGCTCAGGAAAATATATATTTTATTGTATTAAGTTTTGCTGCAAAACAAAAACAAAAATGAAATCCCTTTTTCTCAGGTCTCAATTATTACTATTTATTTTTCTTTACACTTTGATTGGAGTATTAACACCTGCCTTTGGCATTATGGATAGAAAGCTCAGGAGTCTCTGAACAAACGGTTGTGCCAAAAAAAAATAATATGGAAGAAGAGTGTCACTTAGAGGGTAGAAATAGTTGTTGTAACAACATGTTTTCTCCAATCAGTGTTCACTGCTTTTTCTCTAAGGCACACACTGTCTTTTAGGACCCCATGACATCCACGTTTGTCACTGTCAGTCCAAGTTCTTGCTGAGCTCAGAAGTACCAGCAGAGGACACGCTGTGGTGGGACATTACCTCCCCAGCACTGAGGGGCAGCTGGGAGAGCTGACATCATGACCCATCTCCTCTGGGAACTCCTCACTGAAGTGCAAGCACGTGGTGTGCTGTGGGTCCATCCTCCAGCAGCACCTCCTCCAGAGCAGTGCCAGGCTGACACTGCAAGGCGCTGGATGTGATGCAGTCACTGGAGCTGGATGCCCTTGGAAACATCTGCACGTGCAAGTCACCTCTGGTCTGAAAGTCTCTCCTGCCTCCAGCAGACAGGTCAGTGTTCTTCACTTTTGGTCTTTCTGATGGATCAGCAGCACGGGGTGAGGGGGCTGCCTGCCCTCACTGCTCCTTGGCCTTCTGACATTGTAAAGCAGAAGGGACTCCTGCCCCCTCTGCCCAAGTCACATCAGTTATTTGCTTCCCTCTCTCTCAGGGTGGCTTTGCAGGCAGCCAAACACCTCAGCCTGACTAGCACTGCTCAGCTAAAACGCAAACAAAAAGTAAAGGAGGGAGGAGGGGATGGGAAGGGCAGCAAGCACATCCTTAGACAAAGATCTGGATCCTCTCCCGGATTGCCTGCCGGCAGATGGGGCAGACGGTGAGGGCTGTGCTGCAGTCTGGGCAGGAGCCATGTCCACACTGGAAGACCAGTTTGATCTGATCGTCGATGCAGATGGGGCAGGTGATTCTCTCCTCCATCTGCCGGTAGCGGCTCTGCAGCTCCTCCATCAGCCTCCTCTGGTCACTGCCCTCGGAGCTGGGGCTGCACTCCACCTCCGTGCTGTCTGCGGGCCAAGAGCAGGGACACGTTAGGCACGGCTGGGCTCTGCCTCCTGCACTGCCTCTTTGGGAGACCCTGCCCCTCTACAGTAGCAATTAGTTCAGACTAACCTCTCTCCACTGAGCCTTATCCAGGGATTCTTCTAACAAAGGGCCTGAGATGATGTTTTTTAGGGACTGGCCAGAGTTGCTTTCCTCCATTTAGCTGCTCAGCTGTTTTTTGTGTGTGTGTGTGTGTCTTTGAGTTTGTTTGTTTTAAAAAGGAAACAAAATGTTATCTAAAATGTTCTGCCTTGGTGTTCTGGAATATGCTGCTGCTACCTTCAAGGAAGACATCCAAAGCTGATGCTGATGTTCTGCCCAGCTAGTCCAGGAATCCTTACAGTGCTATCAGTATTATGTTCTCTCAACATCCTATTCACACTTGGGATTCAAATTCCTGGTTAAGTCTTTCAGGACACACACGGTAAAACAAGAAGAAACCATTTGACACCACTTACGTTGACTTTCGCACACATGAAACTACACGGAGTCATTTGGTCAACTCCATGAAATAAAAGAAGCCCGAAGTGTGTAACACTTCAGGGTCCATGTCCCTTTCCCCAGCAATCTGGAATTAGTTGCACTTCAGTGGTGGAAGAAGTTATTTCAAGCCCATAAAGATGAAGCAATTTTGGGCAGGGGAGCTCCTGCCTACTGTCAGCTAAGCTTGCTATTTTGCAATGCACTGAGCAATGCAGACAGAAGAGGATCTGCTTAAATCTGGGCTAGTGCTTTATCAAAACAATCCAGCTCAAGGATTCCTGGAGAGCTGGTTAATGCCAGCCCTGCACAGGCACTGGAATTCCAGCCAGGGGAGAAGCAAGGCTTCCACAAGACTTACATTTTCCTTTCTCACCAATTTTCACTGTTAAATCCCTCCCTGGGACAACAGTTACACTGACACATGGAGAGCCTGGTACTTGCTTTCAATACACAAAATAATCCCAGCACAGGACCAGCCTCCTCCAATGTTCTGTGTATGGAGCTGGAGCTTGGCCCATGACACCCGAGAGAACCCTCTGTAAAGGTGGCCCCTACAACAGACACACACCCCAAAGAAACCACCAGCCACAACAACAAAGTCAACTCCCTTTCTGATGCTTATCTCACTGAAAAATGTTGATGCTGCTCAAACTAAGGCTGGACAGGACCCTTCCCACAGAACAGAGCAGCAGGAACAGCAAACATACCTTGTTTCAGTTTTTTGGTAATTGTCACTTGACACTTGATGCACTTCTTCATCCTCCTGGAGCACTCTACCATGAAGGATACAAGAAGAGATTACAATTAAGTGCACTGATGCCAGAGCCAAGGCAAAAACAACAGACTCAAGAACATCAGCTCTGAACAACCTCCCTGGATGATTCAGGATTCCTCCATGGAAAGGGGGACACTACCTTCTTTTTGAGCTATATCCTAGAATCTTGGTTTAGTCTTTCCTATGCTAGCAGCAAATACATGACCTTTGAGTCTTCAGTGCTCTGTGTTACTGCAACTGGTGCACTGTGGATCAAAAACAGGCCTTTGCTGAGAGGGAAAGGGCTGCAGCTCTGGCACAGTCCTTATCAAATTCCCTCTGCTCAGACTCTGAGGGCCTTAGGAGATAACAAACTCAACATGGCTGAGCAGGCTGCAATTAAAACAACTGAAATGTAAACCAGTAACAAAAGCCAGAGAAGAAGGAAATCCTTCTCGTGAGGATTTTGGTAGATAAAGCACTGCCAGCTAGAACTGAAATATCTGGCTTTCCTTCTCAATTATCCAGGGCATCTATAAGCACAAGCAAAGCTGCCCAGGGTCCCAGTCAGCAGGGGGTGAGAACACTCTGTGTTTTTCATAGATAGCTTTGGACATCTTATGTGAATGGTGGTGCTGAAATCATGCTGGGGTGGTTTCAGGTCACAAAAAGCACAATAGCCTTGTGGATAAACAGAGCTTGATTTAGGAGAGTCCAACTAGGGAAGGTGTGGTGGAACACGAGAGAAAAATTTTTTAAAAAGGGGGAAAAATCCCCCAGAATGGACTTACCTTCACATACAATACTGTGCTGGCATGGGAAGAAATGGATGAGGAGGGCCAGCTCTGAGCAGACCAGGCACTCTGTGGGGACTGCCACGCTGGAGACACTAAGGTTGGTCATGGTGTTGGGGGTGGTGTGCACGCGGCGAAGGCTGCAGGTGACGGCTGAGCTGTCTGAAGAAACCTGCTGTTCCCTGCAACCACACACCTAGAGTCACAGTTCAGCCACATCCTGCAGGGCCTCCTTCCACAACCAGGTAACAACACATTGATCCCTGGCAAACACTCCACATGGAGACAGACCAGTTCACAAACTGGTGGGACCAACCCAGCTTATTAGTAGCCAGGTTTCTGACTGGATCTATCTAAAAAGGAAGGGAAAGCGCAGCAACGACTAATATTGACATGGCTGAAACTGCTCTTTTGGAGGGCAACAGTAAGATATTGGCAGCACAATCTGCTGGGAGCAGTCAGCTTTTAGGAGCTATTTAACAAGTGCAGCCCCAGGGATCCTCTGTATTTGCCTGTTCCTAAGAAGTGCCTGGGGTGGTTGCCTGAGTTTGCATTTTGCATAACATGGCTCGGAGCCTGATTCTGTCCTGGCATTATAAGCCCCAAATCCAAAGCCCTCAGCATAACCACTCACCACTGTTAAGAGGAATGTCAGTCTGAAAGAACTGGTATTCTTTAAGCAAAAAACCCCACCCTATTCTTAATGCAACATATACTACACTGACACAATTCTTATGGAATATGTTTAAGTGGACACATTTCACCTGTTATTTACAGTGGACCAGAAGCACAGCTGCTGCATGGTTCCTCCTCCACCAGTAACACGACTGTGGGGCTGTGCCCTCGTATCAAACTGAACTCTGCTTTCATGTTTGCCAAGTCAAGATCCAAACAAATATTTCTCAGACATGGTTTACCTGAATTTCTGTGAGAAATCTTTGACAATCTGGAGGATCCTTCCATCTGTGATAAGGTCTACAGGAGACTTTCCCCGATGGTTTGCATAATTAATATCTGCTCCTTCTTGTGCTAAGTAACATGCAATTGCAGTTCCAACATTCAGCTCTACGTTTCCAAGGAAGCCAAAAGACTGCAGCTAAAAAATGTTAAGAAACACTCTGTTATTAGAAGTTTCTGTTACGTGGTTTTGATCTGTATCAAATTCTAAACAAAGTCTTAAACCTTGTGCTTACAATCTGAATGGGCATTCTTTTTTGAAAGCACAAAAAGATCCTTCAGCACATAGCCAGCAGATTCAAATCTTGTGTTCCAGGAACAAGAGTGCCTAAGACTGGTCCTAACTGGTGCTAACCATTACTACTCATAGTAACAGGCACTCACTCCAGGTAATGAGAAGGAAGTACACTGAAGAGACCATGGTACATACCAATTGTATCCAAGGCCTTTCCTGAAGAACCTTCTACATCCATGAATACTAAGCAACATAGTGAGATCCACTTCAGGCTTTGTAACTATGGAGCCTTTATCCCTCCCCCTGATACATCCCACCTCTCCCATTCTGCTCTACATCTGCAGATAACTGGGGAGTCTGTGGTTAGCTATCCTCATATTTTCCATGCCATCAGACAGAAATGAATTGCTGTGGTTCTGGGGCATGAATTAAACCCAAGACTCTTGGCTCTGCAACTGGATTAATGACCTTTCCCATGTCAAGGAAGCAGCACACAATACTAATAAAAATATCAGGGGAGACAGTATGAATTGTTGTCTGACTATGTGAAGTTTCATGCTATAAATTTGAGCATGGCCTCAGAGGATCTATTCCTGCTTTCCCACAAGCAGGAAGATTTGTTTCCACCCTCTCCATCTAGATGGCTTGACACAATTTCCCTGCCTTCCTTTGTCCCCTTATGTCCCAGTATCTGCTGCCATTCTAACATCAGGCATTTTGCTGCCCTTGGTGCTGGAATTTCTCCTCCTCCCAGCTCACCTTGGAAAGGAGGGACGAGCCCATCTCCCCTTCACGCTTCTCCATCATGACAGACATGAGCTGCTGCCGTTCCAGGGCGATGTGCATGGCTGTGTCCCCATCCTCATCTTCAGCATTGACATCACTGCCCTCGCTGACCAGCAGCTGCACCATCTCCACGTGTCCCTGGATCACAGCCAAGTGCAGGGGTGTCTGGTTACGGTTGTTCTTGAGGTTGACATCACAGCGACCCTTGAAGAGAAGGATTGCATCAGACTGAGCTGTTGCTGCTGGAGAAGAGTGCTGCAGCTGTGGTGCTTGATGAGGCCCCAGGTCCATCTTCATCAAGACAGGAGGATGGAGATCTCCAAGGGATCTGTGTGGTCCAGTCCTCTGTACATTGACCATATGGCCAACACCTCTCAGGTGTCAAGAAAGGGAGGACTGGAAGCCAGATGCCTGACACACAGATAACATCCTCCTGGTGATGACTTGGATATGACAACTTGTCACTTCCCTGACACAAACAAACCCTGGGACTACTCTAAGCAAACAGTCAGGAACAAACTCCCTTACGCAACATTCATTCCTTGCTTGCCTTCAATTTCCTCTTCAAAACAAAGAGGAGAAAAACCTGTTCAAACCTGAATCCCTGCCCTGCTGCCAGACCTGCAGGGGAGGCAGCAGCCTGGGTGAGGGCCTGAAGATCTCTGGCTCTGCTAAGGCAGAACTTCTGCCAGAAATAAAGCAACCATACTACTGAGGAGTGCTCACAGACCTCACTCCTCTACTGCACTCATTTGTAAATCCATTTAATTCTTGTTGCAGTGTTTGGATCCACTTGTAAAGATGGAGAAACTCAGACAACAAACCAGAGAAGAAACAAAACCCATGAGTGCTGATACTTTTCTCCTTTACTGCCAGTGGCAAGGGAAAGTACCCCCAGGAATGTCAAGCCCTGCTCTTCCAAGCCTCCAAACAATGCCAGCTCTCCAAAGAGACAGAGACATTCTGGTGAGTCCCAGCATTAACCCAATTGTGCTTAGGAAATGTGGGGGATTGGGAGTGAGACAGATGGGAGATTTGGGTGGTGGTTTTGTTTTGTTTCTTACCTCTTTGATGAGAATTTCTGCCACTTCTTTGTGATTATTGAGAGCAGCAAGGTGCAGGGCAGTGAAGCCATCCTCCTTTTTGGAGTCAACCAGCTGCCGAGCTCTTGCTAGAATCTTCTTTATGGCTCTAGAGTGTTGGGAGGTAACAGAGGTGGAAGAGTTACTTCTCAGGAAGGAAGAGACAGGCCTGTCTCTTCTGCTCAGTAGTCATGAATAGTTCTAATAGGCAGCACTATGAGCTGGCACTTGTGATGCAGAGCACTCTTTCTATCTCACAGACCAAATTACAAGACTAAAACAAAAGCCTTCAGTTATCACTTAATAAAGTAGGGTAAACTCACACTGCTATGAAAATAATGAGCAGATTTATCCTTGGAAGAATTCCAGAGGCTCTCAGTTAGACACAATCTTTTCAAGTACTGTTTACTACAGACCTTCTCCTGTCTTTTCGTGTGAGAACCCAAACATCTAAGGAGACTATCCAGAAGCAGCCAGATTTCCTAGCAAGCTAGATGGGATGAGGAAAGCAGGCAGCAGTTTCCTGTGAATGCATGAAAGAGGGAAGAAGAGCAACAGCTATACATCCAGCCATATCTAAATCAAATGGTTGGTATAACCAACCATTTCCTTCCTAGCTAACTAGAATTAGATGTGCTCCCATCTTACTGTTAGGAGAGCAAGCACAGGTTAACATCTGTAAAAGCAGTAAAAATTTAAAAAAGGGCACTTACAGCTTGTTGCCTTTTAGAGCAGAAAAGTGGAGCAGGTTGAAACCTTGACAATTCTGGACAGTGAAGTCTATGTTAGGTACTTCAGTGAGAATCTCAATAAGGACTGTGTATTCTGCAGTGATAGCATAATGCAGAGGGGTGTCTCCCTGGGAATCCTACACAAGGAGAATACAGGTTACCTACCTCAGAGCATCACATTAAACAGTTCACCCAGTAGTACATTTTAAGAGAATGATCTTCAAATTCTACAAAGTAACAAATGGTGTAAGACATATAAAAGGACCTGCTCATCTTTAAAAAACCCACAAAAACAAAGAAATAAAAAAAATCCCTAACACACACCTCCCCAAATCCCACAAACCCCAGAACTTACTGGGAGGTTGACATCGCAGTTGAGCTCACAGAGGGTTCGCACCACCTCAGTGAATCCTTGACTGACAGCAACAAACAAGGCTGTGCACTTTGCATTGTTTAACAGGTCTGCACTGGCTCCTTTACTAAGCAGCACACGGGCAACCTCAGCTTGGTTTCTGGTTTAAAAGGAAGGAGTAAGACAGATTAGATTCAATTCTGGGCAGATGGTAAATTCCTCCTCCTTGCAAAGCAACAACTTCTCGGGTTTTGTATCCTCTTGACTTCATCCCACATCCTCTTAGTATTGAAAAAAATACCCCACAAACACAACTACATTCCTAATTTGTACTCTAGCATCTGCTCTCTCTTTGCTCTCAATCAACAGGAATCTCCTGCTCTTAATGATTAATTCTTCCCTGGTAACTAACAATGCAACTCAGCCTTTCATCTTACTCTGGAAAACACACACACTTACAGAAACAAAACAAACTATTCCCAACCAGCCAAAATGCCCCTGTATCTCCACCCAAAGCAAAACTAAATACCAAAATCCCCTTATCACTTGGTTTTAATTCCCCCAAAATGTCTAGCATGGAAACTGATCTAGCTCAGTGCACTAAGAGATGCACCTGTGGCCCTGAAGCTCACAGGAGAATTTCTTACACACAGCAAAAATCAGAGAAGAGCCTGCACCAGCCCCACACCCTTCACAGCCTTCCCATTTCCATCTAGAAAAGCCCTTTTGCAGCCCTTTAGGTCTTGTCTCAGAGACAGCAAGCAGCAAGACATCCTACCCAAAGGCTGCATAGTGCAGTGCTGTGTCCCCCTCTTCATCCCTCAGGTTGACAGAGGCATGGGCCTGCAGCAGAATCTTCACCACATCCAGATGCCCCTGGTAGGAGGCAATCTGCAGGGCAGTTCTGCCCTGGTTCTTGGCATCGACCTGTGGGAAGGGCAGAGGTGCAGCAAACAGCTTGATTAGCAAAGACCTTGCCTGGAGTCCAGGCCTTGGCTCTGCTGAAGCAGGCCAAGCAGGGTGTAAGTCACAAGCTGCAGAAGAGTTGCAGGCTCAGAAATGCTCATCAGGAACTGTGCCCCGTTGGCTTCACTTTATGTACATCAACTACCAGGCTGACCTTGTCCCAGAGTATTTCTGAAGGGGACAGCACATTTAGTCAAGAAGGGGGAAGTGAGTGAACAGAGCTGGAAGCCAGGGCTCTAATTGCAGCTCTGATGCCAGATCCCTCTATGCCTGCAGGCAAAATACTTCTTGACATCTCTGCCAACAATTGCCTTCCCAACAGGAAAATGTGTGAGGACATCAAATTAACTTTGCACAAGGCTTTAAAGATGCCAAGTTCCCATTGTTCTGTGTTGCCCCAGGTACTCTACTGGGCACAGTGGCTGGAGGGCATATCACAGTGCTGAAGTGCTGCAGTGAGAATTTTTGAGAATTAAAGGGACTGAAGAACAAAGAGAGGCTGTATGAAAGGCAAGGGGAAAAAAAAAGAAAAAGAAACTTCTGAAATCAGTGGGAGGCTAAGGAGAAGAGATGAAGGAGTTAGCAAAACCTCAGCAGACTGGCAAGAACAACAGATTTTTTTTCCTTGCAGCTGGTTCTGTGCACTGGTCAGGAGAGCAGGACAGGCAAGACACTCCTTAGTTCACTCAAAAAATGGGGTGCATCACTGAGGAAAGGAGGCATTAGAGGCCACTGTGTTATTCTTTCATTTACATGAGACAGACAATGCTGATAAGCTGGAAAGGCCTTGGCAAGCAATTCCAACTTGCACTACTATATGAGTCTCAAATCCAGCCTCCTCTTGCTGCATACAACACTCTAATAGAAATACTCATTTAGTAATATAACTATTAGAACACAAATATAATTTAGAATAGAAATCAAAATCTAATATAAATAGCTCATAGCAAAATGGATTCTTGACTCTTGGCCCATTCTTGTCTGGGATGAATGTGACAATTGCAGGTATTAGTCCATTCCTCCCATCTCCAGAGGCCCCATTAAACCAAACTTATGTTTTGTTACCAGTGGTTTCCAAGGACACTGCTCAATACTTTGCTCTCTTGTTCTTCTTGGATAACCTGTCTATAAACTCTGTACCCCTCACTGAAGGAGCTTGAACCTTCAGACAGGCAGCCTGAAAGAGCAGTGCGCTGAGTAGATGTGATCTTAATAGTTTGGCAAGCACAGAAATTGTTCAGCAACAAGTCCAGCCCAGTTCCCTGCTCCAGTCAGACATGAGATAAGACACTGCACAGACATGGACAGCATCAGGATCTGGGCAGCTTTTCTCCTTCCTGATTCCAACAAAACCATTTGCAAGGTCATCTAAGGACAGACACATTTAGCCAGACACAACCCATGGCTTCCTTTTCAAAGAGAGGTTAGATACTCAGCCATCTTGCTACTGTTTTCATATAGAGAAAGACCTCTCCCTCTAATTCTACAGGTGCCAGTGTCCATAAAGGAAATCTGGGAAAAGCCAGCTTTGGAAATGTGCTGTAAGCACTGGTTCTGATTTAATGCCACAAACAGGAGCCATAAAATACATGTTTAACATACATATTTAATCCGAAATTGCAGCAAAACAATTTTACAGCTCTTAGGAGCTAATACTAGGTCTGAAAAATCTTCTTTTTCTCCCTTCATTCTCCCCACTTGACTACAAAATTTTATGAGAAGAGCAACAAAAAGTAACCTATCAAGTTGTCTTCAAAACTTGCCTTGTCTGGGTACTTCTGCAGGAGCTCCCGAACTTTAGCTGCATTGTTGAGTGCTGCACAAATGACCAGGCAGCCTGCATGCTCTGACTCTGTCTTCTGGGACAGCAGCTTCTCCAGGACAGTAATCAAAGTACCTGGTAGGAATAAGAAACAGCCAGAGGTTAAAAAGGCCAAAGAGCACCTGTATATGTATGGAGAAGCACAGTGTGGGCCTGCTGTGCCTCTGATCCTTAGCTCACCCACAGAGCTTCACACACCTGGGGCTGACACAGAACTTTTGCATCACAAGTTTGATGTTTTGAGAACCCAAAAGACCTGAAACCAAGCTACAAAAGACCAACACAGAAAAATAACTACTAAAAGGCAAATAATCTGAAGAGGAATGCATGGTTTTGGAAAGGATGCTGTAGGGGAAAAAACACAGGCCCTTTCAGATGGGCCCTCTAATTACACAGACTTTTGAGTGCCTGAGAGTACAGAGGTGTTACAGCTTTCCAGACAAAAAGCTGTATGCAAGTTCTCCCTGCAGTCTAGCTTGAGCAAACAGTTTAAGACCCATCTACACAGCAAAACAAAAAAAAACAGGAGGTCTGTCCTCTCTCCTCTTCAGATCCTGACATCTGAAGGAAATACATATGGTGAGGCTACAAAAAATGTTATGAGTGCATGTGCAAACCAGACAAAATCCCCTCTACACATCATGTGATCCCAAATTAAATTGTGGGGTGGACTAGGGAAATTAACTGTTGATTTGACAACTCTTCCACAGAAGGGCCTGGGAATGTTTCACAAGCATCCAAGAATTAGTATCCTCTACAGGAAATGCAGCAGGACAGAACAGGAAATTGAGACAGATGAAGGCAGAAGTGATTACTGAAGCTAGGGCAGAGCTACAGTTGCCATTCCTCAGTCCTATATTCTGTGTTTTCCTGTTAAGGCCAGCATTGCTTCCCCAGTAAGGCACAGGTTGGTTATGGAGCTCTCTCTGGGGAAGAACAGGCAGCTGGAGTTTAACAATGTCCAAAATGTTGCTGTTGTTCCACCAGAGCAACCATTTCAGAGTCCTGAAATCTCTGATCTCACTATCTCACTTTTTGATTCCTTTGCATTCTCTGTTGTCATGAGGTTTGCTTCTTCATCTCTCTGATAGGCTGTCAGGCAAGCTGGGTTGAAGGTCCAGGACTGCCCTCCAACTGACACTCGCAGATCTCCGTCCCCGTAGACCTTGATCACTTTCCCAATGTGCCCCAGGGTCTGCAAGGGAAAG